CTTGACAATAGTCCAGCAGTTTTCAAGCATAACTGCTTCTCAGATAATTCTTTGGTCAGTTTCCAAAGCACAAACATGGCTCTTCTCATTAACTTTGTAAAGCTTAATTGCTGCTTTCAGGAGAGAGGATCTTACTTAGCCCCAACCAGAAATATGCTCAACACACACCTGCACCTGTTTTTTCTTGCCTTCAACTTCAGGGAAACCAAATTTTATCTGCTTGTATCCCAAGCACTTCCTTATTGGACACAGGATAGTGTTTACAACTCGGCTTAGAAACAAACCTTATCTTTATCTCTGGACCTGTTTCTCACACGTCTCCTCATGGAGAACCAATGCTCTCCTTACACTTTCTTTACATGCTTTATGCTCAGCCCTGGCTGCTGGGAATGGTCAACATTCTCCATTCTTCTACTTTGGAGTCCCCCTTCTCCCACACACAACAGGCCAGCTCCCAATCTTTCTCTGGATAGGACCTCAAACACTGACATGGCCCTAGTGCTCACAACTGTACTACTGACTCTTTTCCTGGACCATATAGAACAGATCTGTGGCTAAAAAGAAATGCTTTCTCCTGGGAAGCTGAGTATATTTATTTTATCTGAAGAGACTAAATGCTCAGGAGTCTGGTGATACAGCTCCCAAATTATTTCAAAGACTTTGGGACCTTTTTTCTTATTACTTTTCTTTGTTTAAAAGAACCAGAGACAGGGACCAGCAGTTAGTGTCATTGCTATGTCGCTGGAATCCCATGTAGGCGACTGTGGTTTGAGTCCTAGACCCGGTGGCTTAAACTCACTCCAGGCACATGTGTGAGCATACCTGAAAGGAGAATGGAGGAGAAGGGATTGCGGTGTGGCTATCCCCCCGGGGGGTGATTTCTTGCTTTCTGTCTCTCGTCTGTCTTTCGGGGGAGTGCACACGCCCTATAGCAAAAACCTCTAAAAAAATAAATATATAAAAGAACCAAAGACAAACTGACTCTTTTTTTCTAAAAATCTTTAATTTTATTTCTTCTGATCATTATTTTAAAATTTGTTATAGGTCACATGCACTCATCAGAGAGAAACAGAGAGAGAAAGCAAGTCATCAGGTCCAGAACGTGAAAAGCAGTTGGCCATGTGTATGTCCAGTGCCCAACCACCACGCCACCTGCTGGCCTCCTACCACACACTATTTCTGATGTGACTCAGGGATCCTACGCAAACTACTGCCTTGGTCTTCCTGGTTTAAACCATCCAGAAAGAGCAAGCACTCAACAAATACTTGCTAGATGAATAAATGAACAATCACTTCATACCACAAACTTTTCTTGAACACTAAATCAGAATTTACATGTGAACTTGGATGTCTTTCTTTGAGACAACTACACTTTTTATTTTTACTACAGCCTGAAAATAACAGACTACTGAAAACCTGGGAAGAACTCCTCTTCCTCCTAAAAGGAGCTTCTTCCCACACTCATCCTGGTGCCCCAATCTCAAAGGCATTTACAGCTTTCATCCTTACCTGTAATCAGCTAACAGGTCCAAGGTCATCTCTCCCTGTTATGTTCCTTCCCAACTCTACTGTTGTATGTCTGGCCTAAACCTTCATTTCCTCACACCTGAATGCCTACTTGGAACTCTGATTCCTCCGCAGTATCCCTTCCTTCTGACCCATCTGACATTGGCTCTGGGTCTCTGGCAGGAGGCAGGAGCCTGCTTAGTTTGGCTTCTGATTAGCTACTCATCAGATCTCATCAAGAGAAGCCAACATACAACTTTCTGATCCCTTCATCATGTTCTGTCAACCAGTTCACATTCATTTCTGTCACCCAAGAGGACATGTTTACTGTTAACAGTTGTGTTTTTTTTTTTTTTTAATAATTACTTAACTTTATTTATTTTAATTTGACCAGAGAGGGATAGAGTGAGAGAGAGAGAAAGTGAGAAAACAAGCAGCCAGGTCTGGGACTCAAACCATGGTCTGTTATATGGAAGTCCAGTACCCCTAACCACCATGTCACCTGCCGGCCCTAGCAGGTCTGTAAGTTAACACCACCCAACATTTACTGTGCGGTTTCTCTGTTCACATCCCACTTTTGCATCAAATCTGGTTTATACTGCCAAGTTCTTGATATTCTTCCATTGCCTCTAAGCAATACTGAACACAAACTTCATTTTTTAATTGACAGAGGGCATGTATGCTCACCAGAGTCATGGACAGAGAGAGAGGGAGGGAGGGAAGAAGAATCCCTAATATGGCATGTTCATGCTACATTACCTGCTTTTCCATTTCTCCAACCTGTCGAGTTCTGGGGCATATGTATGCAGCCAATATGTTTTTCAAGCTGCTAGGGCCAGGATTCAAACCATGGTTGGATACGTAGCATCCACCCCCCTTAACCTCAGGCTATAGGGCCAGCCTGAACATAATTTTTTATTTTTAAGTTTGCTGAAGGCCATGTGTGCTTGTCACTTAAGACAGGGAAAGCGAGAAATCGCCTGCCATGGGAGAGGGCCACATCATAATCCCTTCTCCTCCATTCTCCTCTTGGGATTTTGGATATGCCTGCATACACACCTGATATGTTTTTCAAGCCACACCTAGAAGCCAAATTGTGCAGTCAAGTCATATGGAATCCAACTATCTTTAACCTCTATACCAGTTGCTGGCATCCTAAACACAAACTTTTAATTAAAGCTCTTTAACTAACCAGGACCTCTCACCTCTCTCTCCTGGAATGTTCTCTTGCCATCTCTCTTCTCTTCTGTCTTTCCCATTCCCGGCGAGCTTTATCTTGTTCTTCTCGATGTCGTTTCCGACGTTCATGTTCTCTTTCTTTTTCTTTCACTCTGGCGTGCTTTCCTAAAGAGAAATAGCAAATGTCATGCAAAGAAACTCATCTTCAAGAATTTTAACTTGAAAATTAAATTAAATCAAGCAAAGAAGAGAAGAAATATCCTAATAATGACTTTAAGAACTAATCATGAGGGGACCAGCAGGTGGTGTGGTGGTTAAGGCGCTGGACATTCCCACGTGGCTAACCATGGTTCAAGTCCTGGACCTGACGGCTTGCTTTCTCACTATGTCTCTCTCTCTGTATCTCTCTGGTCAAAATAAAATAAGTAAATGAATAAATAAAATAAAAAATAATTAAAAAAAAAAGAACTAATCATGAGTTTACGTTAAACAAACTGGGTCGTCAGGTGGCGTAGTGGTTAAAGGTGCTGGATTCCCATATGGCCGACCATGGTTTGAATCTCAGATTTGGCAACTTGCTTTCTCCATTTCCCTGTCTCTGTGGTCAAATTAAAAAAAAATAATAATAAAAATAAAAAATTAATTAAAAAAAAAAACCTGAAGATGAGCCAGTTGGTGCAATGGTAATGATGCACTTAGACCCACATGGGAAAGGCTTAGGGTTAAAGCCTTGGGACCTCCTGAGCACAGGGGCAGATGCATGGGTGCCCAGGATCCTGGATGGCTGCAACTAGGAGTGAATCATGGCATAAAAGACTTTGTTGGGGAACCAGCAGTTGGTGTAATGGCTATGTCGCTGGACTCCCATGCAGTTGGCCACAGTTCGAGTCCCAGACCCAATGACTTAAATTCATGCCAGGCGCATGTGCATGCATGCCCAAGATCCTAAGAGGAGAACGAAGGAGAAGGGACTGTGGTGTGGCCATCTCCCCTGGGGGGTGATTTCTGTCTGTCTCTGTCTCTCTGGTGAGCACACACGTCCTATAGCCAAAAACAAAATTAAAAAATTCTCAAAAAAAACCCCACAAAGACTTTGTTGGGGAACACATCTCTCTTTCATGGAAGAAATAAATAAAGTTGTTTTTTATTTTTGGAGAGGTCTTTGCTATAGGGCATGTGTGCTCGGTAGAAAGCAAGAAATCACCCCCCAGGGGGATGGCCACGCCGCAATCCCTTCTCCTCCATTCTCCTCTCAGGATCTTGGGCACACATGCACACATGCCTGGTATGAGTTTAAGCCACTGGGTCTGGGACTTGAACCGCAGTTGACTACATGGAAGTCCAGCAACATAGCCACTATGCCAACTGCTGGTTCCTCATTTTTAAAAATTTGTAAAATGGGACAGGCAAGTGGCATGGTGGTTATGGCTCTGGACTTCCGTCTGTCTGGCGAGCGCACGCACCCTACAGCAAAAAAAAGAAAAAAAGAAAAACATGCCAGTCAGGGCCAGCAGTTGGTGTAATGGTCATGTCGCTGGACTTCCATGTAGTCAGCCAGGGCTGAGTCCTGAACCTGGAGGCTTAAACTCATGCCGGACTTGTGTGCATGCGTGCCTCCTCTCCAGGAAGAGGAGGGATTACGGCATGGCCATTCCGCAGAGTGTGATTTCTCGCTTTCTGTCTCCCTGTCTTTATGGTGAGTGTCTGTGCCCTATAGCAAAAACCTCTCAAAAAAAAAAAAAAAAAAAAAAATCATGCAGGGCACGTGTGTGTGTACATGCCCAAAATCCCAAGAGGAGAATGGATGAAAAGGGATTGCAATGTACTCATTCCCCTGAGGGGTAATGTCTTACTTTCCCTCTCTGTCTCTTTCTCGTTCTGGCAAGTGCATGCACCCTATGGCAAAAAAAAAAAGGGAGAGGGGAGAGAAAAGAAACAAAGCCAGCCCTATAGCCTATAATGGTTAAAGAAGCTGAATCCCACATAGTTGACAGTGGTTTCAATTCTGACCCCAGCGGCTTGGAAAAAGCATTCTAGGAAGGTTGGCAAGTAGCACAGAGGTTAAGAGTGCTGGACTCCCACATGGCCGACTGTGGTTCGAGTCCCAGACCTGGCAACTTGCTTTCTCACTCCCCCCCAACAAATCTTATCTCTCTCTTGTCAAATTAAAAAAAAAGAAAATTAAATAAGATAATTTTTTTTGAGAGGTTTTTGCTATAGGATGTGTGTGCTCACTAGAAAGAAAGAAACAGAGAGACAGAAAGTGAGAAATAACCCCCAGGGGGGACGACCACACTGCAATCCCTTCTCCTCCATTCTCCGCTCAGGATCTTGGGCACGCACGCATACGCACATGGCAGGAGTTTAAGCCACCGGGTCCGAGACTCGAATCGCAGTTGACTACATGGGAGTCCAGCAACATAGCCATTGTGCCAATTGCTAGTCCCAATAGGATAATCCTTTAAAAGAAAAAGAAAAAAGAAAAACACACTAGACACCAAGCACATGTATGCGCATGCCCTAAATCCCAACACGATGGAAAAATGGAAGAGAATGAACTAGAGTGTTATCAAGCCTCACGCAGGGGTGATTTCTACATCTCTCCACCTCTCTCTCTCTGGAGAATACAAAAGGTCTCTGACAAAAACATCCAAAGAACAACAACAAAAAAAACTTCTAAGAAAACTCAAATCTACAGATATAAAACTCTACAAGGTAAAATACCAATGTTTTTTTTTTTTGGAGAGGTTTTTGCTATAGGGCATGTGCGTTCGCCCGACAGACAAGAGACAGAGAAACAGAAAGCAAGAAATCACCCCCCAGGGAGGATGGCCATGTTGCAATCCCTTCTCCATTCTCCTCTCGGGATCTTGGGCACACATGCACACGTGCCCGGTGTACGTTTAAGCCACCAGGTCCAGGACTCGAACTGTGGTTGACTACATGGGAGTCCAGCAACATAGCCACTACACTAACTGCTGGTCCCAGGTAAGGTTCCAATTATGAAAAGAAAAATAATATAATTATCATTGAATAGAATTTTTTTTTAAAGAGAGATTTTTGCTATAGGGTGTATACACTTGCCAGAGAGAGACATAGACAGAGACAGTGATAGGGAAAATGAGAAATCACCTCCCATGGAGAATGGCCACACCCTTATCCTCTATTCTCCTCTTGGAGATGTATCTGGTGTGAGTTTCAAGCCATCAGGTCTGGAACTCGAACCACGGTCAGCCACATGGGAGTCCAGTGATGTAACTGCTACACCATCTGCCAGCCCCATCACTGAATAGAACTATAATTTTTACCTAATTTTTTTTTTTTTTTTTTAAAGAGAGGTTTTTGTTATAGGGTGCGTGCACTCACCAGAAAGACAGAGAGAGCCACAGAAAGAAAGTGAGAAATCGGGAACCAGCAGTTAGCACAATCCCTTCTCCTCCACTCATCTCTTGGGATCTTGGGCATGTGCGCATGTGCCCAGCGTGAGTTTAAGCCACCGGGTCCAGACCTCAAACCATGGTTGACTACATGAGAGTCCAGCGATGTAGTCATTATGCCATTTGCTGGTCCCACCTTTCTAATTTTTCACACTGAATAAATGACAATTAGAATATATTGGTTTCAGAAATGTAAAAAGTCACTATTCAGGGACCAGCAGTTGGCGTAATGTCTGTCGCTGGACTCCTATGTGGTCGACCATGGTTCAAGTCCTGGACCTGGTGGCTTCAATTCACGCCTGGCGTGTGTGTGTGCATGCCCAAGATCCCCAGAGGAGAAGGGAATGCGACATGGCCTTCCCCCTGAGGGGTGATTTCTCGCTTTCTATCTCTCTATTTCTCTGGTGAGTGCATGCCGCCATAGCAAAAACCCCTCCCCCGCCCCCACCCAAAAGATCACTATTCATAAAGTGCACAGAACAAAGCTTTCTTCCTTTAAGTAGGTTTCTATATCATGTTATAAAATCACGTTAATTAATCAACTGCTTTTACAATGATACTTAAATAAGGCCTCAGATCCAGTTTTCCCAATATACTTAAGACTCTCTTGAGATTAATATAAGACAAAATCTCTAGATAAATCAAATCCATTATTGGCAACTGAACAAACACCTAGTTTTTGGTGTGTTTTCCCCCTCTATCTGTTGAACTAAAGTAATTTCTTATGTAAACAAACTATTCAAAAACAGTGTAATAATGGGATCAGTAGGTAGCATTGTGAAGGTGCTGGAATCCCACATGGCTGACTATGGTTGGAGTCCTGGACCAGGCAGCTTGTGTTCTCACTCCTCGGCCCCCGTCTCTCTCTGGTGAGCACATGTGCCTTCTAGCAAATATAATAATAATAGTAAAATGAAATAAGTCTTTTTTCAAAGAATTCTTTTCTTTTCTTTCTTTCTTGAGAGATTTTTGCTATAGGGTGCGTGCACTTGCCGGAAAGAGAGACAGAGACAGAAAGCAAGAAATCACCCACCCCAGGGGGGATGGCCACGCCGCAATCCCTTCTGCTCCATTCTCCTCTTGGGATCTTGGGCATGCACGCACACGCGCCTGGCGTGAGTTTAAGCCACCGGGTCTGGGACTCGAACCATGGCAACTACATGGGAGTCTAGTGACATAGCCATTACACTAACTGCTGGTCCCTCTTTCTTTCTTCCCTACCACCCCACCTCCTTTCTTTCCTTCTTTCATTTTAATTTGACCAGAGAGAAAGATAGAGAGGGAAAGCAAGAAAACAAGCCACCAGGTCCAGGACCTGAATTGCGGTCGGTCATGATGTGGGATTCCAGCGCTCCCAACCACAACGCCACCTGCTGGCCCCCAAATTAAATAATTCTTAAAAAATAAAAAGCATAATGAGGGAGAAAACACCAAAAGGGAAATGAAATTGCTATTCTGAATGATCTATAATAAAATTGTGTCTAAGCTAAAATTTTCTCTTCTCCTTCAACTGTGCTCTGGAAAAGGTAGTAGATCATGAAACAGGAAATAAACCACATTTGAATATTACATCAAAGAAAATAAATGTTTCTATACCCCCTTCTGCTGAATGGCTACGATGCCTACGTTTCTCTTTTCTCTTCTCGTCTTTCCTGTGATGAGCTTTTTCTTTCCGAGACATTTGCTGGGGTGGTTTGATAGCCAGAGAATCATCTTCCTCTCCTCTGAAATAAGATACAAGAGCACCAAATCATGCTTACGAAGCTTCTACAACCCAGAAAACTGCAGAATTCAAAAGAGGAATAAAGTTGAACCCAAACTAACATTTAAAAAATTACAGTGGGGAGGGGGGCAGCAGTGGCATGGTAGTTAAGGATGGTGGTTGACTCCACGTGGCCAACCGTAGTTTGAGTCCTGGACCTGGAGGCTTGCTTACTCATTTTCTCTCTGGTCACATTAATAGCAACAACAATAATAAAATAAGATAAACACTTCTTCTTCTTCTTCTTTTTTTTTTAAAATAAAAAAGGTCCTACAGGGGGCTGGCAGGTGGCATCGTGGTTAAGGCGTCATACTCTCACATGGTCAACCATGGTTCAAGTCTAGGATCTGGTGGTTTGGTTCCTCTCTGTCTCTGGTCAAATTAAAAAATATCAATAATAATTTTAAAAATAAAAATAAAAAGGAAAAAGAGTTCTACAATTTTATCAACCATAATGATCTCTAAAAGTCATTTAACAGGGCCAAGAGGTGGCATGGTGATTAAGGTGATGGATTCCCACATAGCTGACTGCAGTTCAATTCCTAGATCCAGTGGTTTGAAAATCACAACAAATAAATAAATAAATAACTTTAACAAAAAAGAGGCAAATAACCCTATCAACTTACTCCATTTGACCAACGTCCTGAGAGAATTCATACCCTGCACTTCTTTTTTTTTTTTTTTTAAAAGGTTTTTGCTATAGGGCACATGTGCTCACCAGAAATACAGAGAGAGACAGAGAGACAGAAGGTGAGAAATCACCCCCCAGGGGGGATGGCCATGCTGCAATCCCTTCTCCTCCCTTCTCCTCTCGGGATCCTGGGCATGCATGCACACGCACCCAGTGTTGAGTTTTAAGCCACTGGGTCCGGGACACGAACCGCGGTTGACTACGTGGGAGCCCAGTGACATAGCCATTATACTAACTGCTGGTCCCCACACCCTACACTTCTCAGAACAACCATTCTCTGTAATTTCTGGTTATGTTTCTTTTAATTATCTGGTAATACATATGAGAAGGAAATAAATGAGCAGATATCATGGCACAGGAAAAAAAGTTTAGAACACACAGGTCTTAGCATCAACATTTTTCTTTTTTCTCTTTTATGGGGAGGTTTTTGATATAGGGCACTTGAGCTCGCCAGAAAGAGAGACAGAAAGCAAGAAATCACCCCCCAGGGGGGACGGCCACACTGCAATCCTTCTCCTCCATTCTCCTCTTGGGATCTTGGGCACGCACACACAGGCGCCGGCATGAGTTTAAGCCATCGGGACCAGGACTCGAACTGTGGTTGACTACATGGGAGTCCACCGACATAGCCATTACGCCACCTGCTGGATCGCAGCATCAACACTTCTGATAAAAGGCCACTTTCAGGTATCTTTCTGCATTTGCTTTGGCTTTTTCATTGTTTTTCTTTTTACTTTTGTTATAGGGTACGTGCACTTGCCAGAGACAGACAGAGGGAGAAAGAAGAAAAGTGAGCCATCAGTCTCCAAGTAGGATGGCCACACTGCAATCCCTTTTCCTCCATTCTTCTCTCAGGACTGTGGACATTCACCACATGCGTCCAGTGTCTTTTTCAAGTTGCCACGTCTAGGACTCAAACAGTCAGGTATGTGGGACCCAGTCACCTTAACCACCATGCCACCTGGCTGGCCCTACTTTGGTTTAACTGTGCAAAATCTTAGTAATTTTATTAATCACTACAATATTGGCAAACTTGTTTCAGTACATTATGGAAATAGTGCTAGCTTGGCACAAACACTATTACAAAGGAACACAGGCTCAAAAAATTTTCCCCAGACTTTTTGTCATAAGGCATGTGTGCTTACTGGACAGAGAGGGAAAGTGCAAAATAACCCCCTGCAGGGGTGGCTGTGATGTAATCTGTTCTCCATTATCTTTTCAGAATTTTGGGCATAAATGGACATGCTTCCGGCATGTTTTTCAAGCTGCTAGGTCCAGGACTCAAACATTGGTCAGCCATGTGGGAATCCAGCGCCTTAACTGCCATATCACCTGCTGGTCTCTCAAATTTATTTATTTATTTTATTTGCCAGAGGGTGTTTGTGCTTGCCAGAGAGGCACTGAGGGAGAGGAAGAAGAAAGCACTCTGGAATGGGGGTATGGTCGCAATGCAATTAGTTCTCCTCCATTTCTCCACCCTGTTGAGATTTGGGGCATGTGCACATACACCCCAGCATGTTTTTCAAGCCGCCGAGGCTGGGATTTGAACTGCATGATTGGCCATGTGGGATCCACGGGGCCAGAAAACTGGCCCTCATTCAGTTTTTTCCTAAGAAGAATGAGTGAAATGACAATTGATACCACATGAGAATCAGCCTCAACTGTGAAATAAATCAAGACACGACTCAAACTTTTTCAAAATAACACTGAGAAAGACCAGTTTGGACCACAGTTGTGTAGCACATGTCTCACCTATCTTCCATGGAGTCCTCCCTTCTATATGGAGAGTTCCTTATTGTGATCTCCATGCGGTGATCTCTCAGCTCCCCCTCTTCAAGGGAATCCCGCTTGGAATCCCTGTCATCAGACTATGAAGTAAAGTGCAAATCCGTCATTTTCCTTAATAGTAAACATACTTTTTAATGATAACCAAACTTTGCCATCACCCAAGTACAAACTTTCATACATGCTTTGAACAAATCAATATTATTAAATATAAAAACACTTCCATTCAAATCCCATGACTTTAAAATTACAAATGTCTATATAAAAATTAAGATGAAAAACTTAAAACCAGCATACACGACGAAGTACATTAGATTCTATGCCAAGTATGTTAGTTGCTTATATGAGCCAAAATTGAGCCTTAAGCCGTACTCCACACACCAAATACTTCGTGATAGTTCCTGTAGTATGAGAATTCTTCAAAAAGTTCATGTAAATGTGCATTATGAAAAAATTATACATAGATTTCAAAATTTTCTGCACTAAAACAAGCTCATACTTTAATTCCAGTTTTTCCAAACTTTTTGAAGTCCCCCTCATACTCATAAATACTTCAAGTGATCTCACAAATACCTCAATACTAATCTCATCAAAAAAGGTACTTTTGTCAAAATCTCTTAATAAACTAAAGAAGCTTATTCTTGAGTATGCTGTTATGCAAACAAAAAAAATTCACATAAAACATTCATATTAATTTCAAGGCAAGTTCTTGCTGTATTAAAAGTATTTGGGGATGGTATTATGAATATACTAATAATGGGATGACAAAAATTAGTTCACATGTACTAATGGTTTTAGGTCCAAAATATTTTATTTGCTGTGGAGATATTCTCATCCAAACACAGCTTTAGTGAGTTATCAATCTGCTTTCAATGTAAATTGAATATTTGAATGATTTGTTAATTTTTTAGAATAGATTTTGGGCTCACCTGCGACATTTGGAAGTACAAAAGAACTTCACCGAAGAAGCGTTGTTCTAATGGAAAAATGAGGGCAAAGAAATTAAATCTCCTTTAAGAAAACCACTTACTTAAAAAACATAGCTTACATTTTTTAAGCGTTTTATCTCTGCTTTCTCCTCTTGTTCCTTTCTTCGCTTCTTTTCCTGAAGAATTTCATCTAAAGTTTTCACTTTCCAAGAGTCCTTTTCATCACCCATTTGAGTTAAAACACTGCAAAATGAAAAATACTTCAAGTTACAGCAGCAAGCTAAGGTTTGATGTTCTGTTGTTTCCAAACACTTAAGCTTAGTTACTTTTAAAAAATAAAAGAACCTTCGTTAAGGGTGACAGACTCCAAAAAATCACTGCTGGAATCAAATTTCTTACCGTCATTAATATATGGTCTTGGGCAACTTCATTCCAACAACACCCATCTAACAGAATTGTTCAAGAAGTAAAAGAAATCATCCATGTAAAAGTTTTTAGACTAGTGTCTGGAATTCATCAAACACTGCTTTGCTGTCAAAAGAATTTTTAGAACGACCATTTGGGCTAAGTGAAGACACTGGCCGGCTGGACAGCTGCACCCTTGGCCATAGGATACAGGAGAGGCCTGGGGGTGGGGGGTAAGAGATACTCCAGGAAGGGGCATTCACTAACAGGACAAACTGATCGGGCGCGGGACTCATAGTTCCTTGGGTTCGTCACTTCTACCTGAGGTTTGGTCCATCAAGGGACCGCTTCCAGGAGCACCTGAGTCCGCCGCCTCCTCCACCCCAAGTCCTCGCGGGGCGAGATAGGAAGGCGGACCAAGGGGTGTCGCTCGCTCCCAGCCCAACGCACAATCCGCTCCGAGGTCGGCGGGATGCGAGACTCCCGGAGCGCTGGCAGTACGGCGCTCTCACGCCTCTCAGGATCCCATACTAATTCCACTCAGCCCGGTAGGTACTTACCCCTGAGCCACAGCCGCCGCGGGTCCCGTAGCCTGAAAAGAAACAGCGCCTGGCGCGCGTTATGAATGTCGTCACTTCCTGAGTCTGCGCGAGATGATGACGTACATACCAGGGCGGCCACCGTGCTAGGGTTCTAGAAGAGACTGCCGGCGGCCCGGCAAGAGTGTCGGCGCGTGCTGATGACGCACAAGGGCGGGAGGCCTACTCTCCTGACCCGGAGAATGAACAGAACCTGGCGCGCGCTCTTTGCTCAACTTCCGGCTCCGAAGCTGACTAGTGACGCGAGAGTGGAGGCGACCGGGAGGAGCAAATTCTGCCTTGTCTTCGGTACCTAGAGGCTGGATAGAGCTCTGCGCCTGTCTTAACTCTCCGCTAGCAGGTAGACCCGACCCCGACCCCGACCCTCCCGGATTCGCTGGGCATCAGCCCGCTGCGGACGGGCCCGTCGCGTATGGCCCTTTGGCCCACAACGCCCGCCACCGAGGTTCTTCCGTCTGTCGAGCGAGCGAAGATCTTCCACTGCCAGCTTGTTAACTTCCCTATCGTGGACCTGTGCTCTGTAGCCACGTGTAATGCCACCAGCTTGGCGCCAAGTACAGACCACAAGCCCGGACTTCATTTAACTTTGAATTTTCAGGTGAGGAAAGAGAAAAGGCTTGCCTTCTAAAGCCACCCATTTGGTTCTGCCTTACACAAAAGCAGGATAGGTGTTAGAGCGTTATAGCTGATTTTAAAACTGCTTACTGAAACTCACTAGGAAAGGTTTTAAGGATCCCGACACCCAAGGTCTCCAAACCGAGCGAATCTGAACCTCCTGGGAGTGACTGAATTAAAACGTCCCCTTCTGTATCTCAAGTTATCTTACACCCTCCGCTTCCCAAGTCGCAAAAAAAGGTAATATTCCTGAATCTCAGGGAGGGAACTATGGAAGATAAAGAACCAATCACATTTACTCGCCCCAGGATGGAAAAAACAGTGGAATGTGACCAGGCACACCGAAAAAGTATTGTTATCTTTCCCTCCTGGAATAAAATGCTTATTTTTTTGTCTTCAGGCTCTTATTTTGCTGAGTTCTCATGACTTGGGGAAACCGTTTTTGGAAACTCTTTAAGACAATAAGAAACCAGCTTTAATCATGTTGTTTGCATAAACACTAGAGTTACACAAAGAAGAAAAAAAGCCCATATTTAACATTTTATTTTTGCAGAACAGGTTGTAGACAGTTGCTATCGTGGTTGCTTAACAGAGACAAAAATAAGCAGGAGGCATCCATAGGAATAATTACACAGTGTGAATATTACCACAGATGAATTAACAGTGAGAAATTAAATTATTTAAAAGAACCACTTTCTAGAATTCACTAATCTAGTTACATAAATACTGAGATAGGTGACATATCAAACACTAAACATTTTGTACTTTTAGTTCTCCATAATTTTGTTTGGTATAAAACAAATATAATTTGGCTCTGATGCAGACAATTATTGACACAATTTTCAAGTTTTTCAAGGTGGGAAAGTCACCCTGATAGTGGCCTTCTTCACAGTGGAGTCTACAGTGCTCCTTGGGCAGGTTCAGACTCAACTCATATCTGAGAACAGTTGAAAAATAGCAAATCAGCCAAATGCCATTTTTCTCCAAATGGAAAATTGAAAGCAAAAAAACAGGCCATCAAGAGACTGTCAATTTTAACAGTTTCTGAATTTGTCTGAGCAAGGGTCCAGCAGCCATCCAACTCAGAATCAAAGCCCCAGGGGGAAATGGAAGAAATACTTTAAGGATAGCAAAGTTGAAGGTTTTTATTCTCTGAGCTGCAATGTGAGCACTAGGCCCACAGTCAGCATGACCTCGAGGGTCTGCTTCTGGCTCTTCAGCCCGGAAAGAAAAAAATGCCAGATTCATCATAGAAGTAGGAATGTTCTTACAAACTAGGAAAATGAAGCCATCCCAACCAGGACATGTACATATTTTAGAAAGAATAAAGCTCTTAGTGTAAGGTTGGCAGAAACTAAAAGGAGAGAAGTTGACTTTTATCTTTAATAACATCCTCATTTACAACCCAGAGAAACCGTGAAATTTCTCTCAGGTCTTAAAAAAAAAAAAAGCCCAGCACATGGACGGATATAAAAAGCCATGCTGTGTGTCCGTTATCCCCACTGACCCAGCTAAGGGACTCCATTCAGAGGAGTGTCACAGCAAGAAGCAAACCCAATGGTTTTGTGACAAGTGTTTAAAGGCACGCTACAAAGCAGAGCTCTATTTTGCTAATATTCTTTGTATGGTATTATTTTTTCTTAACCGCTTCTGATTCACCATGTTTATTTTTCTCAAATTAAAGACATATTTTGGGTTATGAAAGAGTATTATTCTAAACTCCACACAGATTATTTTGATGCTGACACACAGAAAATTATGACTCAGACTTTTTAAAAGCATTTTATGACATTTAGTAGTGGAAGTTTCCTTGAAAGTTAGAGATCACTACATCTCTAAGGTTTGGTTCAAGTGTTTTGTTTACAAAGGCACAGACAATGACCACGGACACAGGAGGAATTAACCCAAGTAATGACACCCAGTGTCAACGTTTTCATAAGCACGCTTGTGACAGTTCAATGAGAATATAGTATTTTATAAAAGTAGTAGAGCTAGTTCATAAAAAACTGATCATGTCTGTACAGTCATTAAACAAAATGGCCAAGCTAGGCTTGGGTCTTGACTTCCGGCACAGAGCTGTCCTGGAAATGCTATGAAACTCAGCTGGAAACTAATGTAGGCATGGAGATGAGACTGAGGGGAAAGGAATGTAAGCCCAAGCAGGACATGGTATTGGCCTCAGCACCTTCTACCTGGGATGAGGAACAATCTCAAAAGCAGCTGTACAGGGGCACCAGCAGTTGGCATAATGGCTATGTCGCTGGACTCCCATGTAGTCGACCGTGGTTCGAGTCCTGGACCCAGTGGCTTAAAAACTCACGCCAGGGTGCGTGTGTGTGCCCAAGATCCCGAGAGGAGAATGGAGGAGAAGGGACTGCAGTGTGGCCATCCCCCAACCCTGGCGGCGGGGTGGTGGTGGTGATTTCTTGCTTTCTGTCTCTGGCAAGTGCATGTACCCTATAGCAAAAACCTCTCAAAAACAAAACAAAACAAAACAAAAAGCAGCTTTACAGGAAATTGCCTCATTTACTAATAATTTGGGAAGGTCCTCGTTTTGTTTCTGGTCTACACATTTGGAAAATCAAAACAGGCTGTAAACCACTTATGAGGCTAGGGAGGGGCATGTCGTGATGGGCAGCTCCTAATTCCACATGAGACGTAGGACCAGAAGTGTCAAACAATACACGGAAACCAGGCGCCGGCACCTCTGATTACACTTGGATAACAAAGGCTTTGAGAAGGCCAGTGGGGAGTTCTGCAACTGCCCACCATAGATATGTCTTTCTCTATTCATGTCCCAGCGTCCACAGCTGGGTTAGCCACAGCTAACAGTGGAAGTGGGTAGGATGTAGTCGACCGTGGTTCGAGTCCTGGACCCAGTGGCTTAAAAACTCACGCCAGGGTGCGTGTGTGTGCCCAAGATCCCGAGAGGAGAATGGAGGAGAAGGGACTGCAGTGTGGCCATCCCCCAACCCTGGCGGCGGGGTGGTGGTGGTGATTTCTTGCTTTCTGTCTCTGGCAAGTGCATGTACCCTATAGCAAAAACCTCTCAAAAACAAAACAAAACAAAACAAAAAGCAGCTTTACAGGAAACTGCCTCATTTACTAATAATTTGGGAAGGTCCTCGTTTTGTTTCTGGTCTACACATTTGGAAAATCAAAACAGGCTGTAAACCACTTATGAGGCTAGGGAGGGGCATGTCGTGATGGGCAGCTCCTAATTCCACATGAGACGTAGGACCAGAAGTGTCAAACAATACACGGAAACCAGGCGCCGGCACCTCTGATTACACTTGGATAACAAAGGCTTTGAGAAGGCCAGTGGGGAGTTCTGCAACTGCCCACCATAGATATGTCTTTCTCTATTCATGTCCCAGCGTCCACAGCTGGGTTAGCCACAGCTAACAGTGGAAGTGGATAGGGCTACCGGTAGAGTGGGGTGTGTTTTTAAGCTGGTCCCCATAGATCAATGCAACGTCCCAACGTCCTGACCATCTCTAATGAAGTTTCTTTAGTTTTGTTTTTGGGACAAAACTAAAGAAGGGAAGTGGAAACCTGGGAAAGTCACATGAGAAAACATCTTCACAGTGAAGGTGAGCCCACATCTTGCCTGTCTTCTATAAACAGGTCAGCTTCTTTAAAAAGGTGTCTTGTAGGTTAAAAGGCCTCATTTTGATCTATCATCATGGCAAACTTTTTCAAGTAGGTAGAACTCAATGAGACGTAATTATTGCTCTTTGTTTCTCAGAGATATTATCTCTGGGAGCGGCTATTCTTGTATTTTCCAGGTGAGAAGTCAACTGGAAAAACCAGTGAACCGATTATGGTGCCAGGGACCTTGACAGTAGGGAGGGGAAATGCGACCTAGGGAACAGTTAGTGCCATTAGCTGTGTCTGACAAACCTCAGAGCTCAGAGATAGAGACTCTCAAAGACTGCCTGGCAGTGGACTATGCCCCAAATCAGAAATCCCACCAGGATGCAGGATGAAGAGTTACATGATGTTAGAGCCCTCAGCCTAACACGTGGCTCAAGTGCCTGGAGTGGTCGACCAACCACTCCACAGGCTTCCTGAGCTCTGGGATGAATGACTGATGGACAATCTCAGCTTGCCTGGTAGCCCCAAATGTTGCGGGCTCATAGTCCTTCCAGGGTAGCTGGGCAGTTTACCTGACATTCAGATGCACTCCAGAAACATTCTGACAGGTATTTCTCGTTAGAAAGTTTGATGTCACTCTGACCGCAATGTAACAAAAACTGTAAACACTAAGCATCCTGTCAGGTGCTTCCCTGCATTTTCATGGGGAATCTTAATAGCCTGGGCAATGATGACAATAGAAACAGCTCCAAGAGAAGACAGGCTCATCCTACAGGTCAGAACCTGCCGCACACTCACAAGAGTCCCGAAAAGGACTGTCAGCATCTCCCACCTCAAATTAAATACCAAGGAGGTCTGGCCTCAACCTTTAGGATCTGAAACCACCACATAGTGAGCCTGGGCTATGAGTGAGGAACAGGCCCCTCCGGAGGAACAGGGCTCAGTGCGGCACAGGCTTTGAAAGGGGTGGGAGTGCCTTTCCCTTCATAGAAGTGATATAATGACCCTCGTGAATGATCTCTTCTTGAATGCTACATAATGTTGTAGCCTTGAGGGTAAAGTGAAGGCCCGGTGACCATCTGTGATGTGCCACCAGCTCTGGGTCTGAAGTACCAAGCACCATCCTTAGCAGCAGGAAACCATTGTGTCTGCCCCTCTTTGTGGTCTCAGGCTGCTGTGGCCTCCCAAGCTATGGGTGCCTTGTCTCAGCAGAGCAGCTGGATAAGTAGACCCTGCAGCTGGTCACACATGGTGCAGGGCTGGTGGCTCTGGTGGCCTCTGATGGTTGATTCGGGGAAGCTGAGTTCTGTCACTGGCACTGAGTAGGAAGCAGCTAACACTGGCACTGGGTCCAGCTTTGGCTGCACAGGTGATCCAGTGGCCATCACCACAGAAGAACTGAGGCCTCACCAGCTGCAGCCTGGACACATGTACTCAGTAAGGGAGTTGCAGAGGCTATCAACTCTTATTGTACTCAATGCAAGCCAGCAGAAGGCAGTTCTTCATACATGACTGGGGCTGAGCAGAATCTGGGCACTGCCCCTGCCCTGGAAACTGGCACCTGGAATCCCTAACTTGGGTTCCCACTGGTTTTGAAAGAAAAACCAAGTAAGAAGCAGGAAATGAGCTCAACTACACACTCCCCCCATCTCCTGCTCTCTGGCTATGACTCATGAAGGAGGGTGCCCCCCTGCTCCAGGGGTCCCCACATCAGTGAGGACAATAGCAGCAGCTGGCAACATCAGGCCCTGAGCTCAGGAGCTTCCTGAGCTCAGTGGTGCTGTCTGGGGTCTTTGGGAACTAATGGCTCCATGTCATCTTCAGGTGCCCTGTTGGTGGCCGCAGCCAGGCTCTGCATGGCCTCCTGCTGGTGCTGCTTGGCTTTGTTGTAGAGCAAGACACCGACTGTCACCAAGGCGGTACCAATGGCTGACAGGCTGGTGATTTTGTTGCCAAAAACTATAATGCTGAGCCAGATGGACAAGGCATGCTTCACGGTGCTGGCGACACTGCAGGGCAGAGGACAGAAAGATAAGCACCATGCTCTGGATTCACACTCACAATGACCCATGGTAGCCCCTGGCACATGTCAACTAAATGCAATGCTGAGCTTTGGTGACCCTGTGGGGTCTGGGCCTGTGCCTCAGAGGGGATGTGGGTGGCGAGCTCATCATGGGATACAGGAGCTTAAAGGCTTACTTGCCCCCTTATTCTTTCTCCCTTTCCAGTTTGTTTGTTTTTTTATTTATTTTAATTTAACCAGAGAGGTACAGAGTGAGAAGGAGAGAGAAAGAGGGAAAGTGAGAAAGCAAGCCACCAGGTCTGGGACTGGGACTTGAACCATAGTCAGCCATATGGAAGTCCAGTGCTCTTAACCACACCACCGTCCGGTGTTTTTACCCCCCCCCCTGTTGGGCCCTTTTTTTTTTTTTTTTTCCTTTTTTTTTTTTTTTTTTGGCTAGAGGGCATGTGAACCTCCAGAGAGAGGGGAAAAGCACTCCCACCCCACAGAGAATGATCACACTGCAATCCCTTCCCATTTCTCCCTCCTTTTGGGATTTTGGGTACACACACACACAACCAGTGTATTTCTCAAGCCGCTTAGTGTGTTTCTCAAGCCACTGGGTCTGAGACTGTGCAGTTAGCTATCTGGGATTCAGCCACTTTAACTGCCAGGTCATTGGCTGGCCCTTGTTTAAAATAATTGGTTTTCTGTTCATCATCTTTCTGAGCCATTACTAATTGTCCCTGAAAAATAAATAATTTGAAAATAATCCCTGACTCCAAACAGAAATAAGCTGGTATGGCAGGGACAATGATCAAGCCCAGGAGACCACATGAATTTAGAAAGACCTAGAAAGCAAGACTATTCTAGATGTTCCTATAGACACTTTCCGTCTAGGCAGCAGCAAAGACTGGTGACTGTACAGGGCCTACAGAACCTACTAGCAGGAAAGGAGGTTTGCTCCTTGTCATTCAGTTATAGAACACTGTCTGGTACACTGCACTAGGGTTCATATCTAAGTAGTTACTGCACTGCATGGATTTAGACCAGAGAGAAGAGGGGGAGCTACACCTCAAAGTGGCCACGCACACCCTACCCTGGGTACCAGAGCTGCTATGGGCTCAAAGAGGCTGAACAATAGCACAGTTCAATTAAGTCCACTTTTTTTTTTTGAGAAGTTTTTTTTTTTTTTGCTATAGGGCACGTGTGCATGCCAGACAGACAGAGAGAGACACAGAGACAGAAAGTGAGAAATCACCCCCCAGGGGTGATGGTCATGCCGCAGTCCCTTCTCCTCCCTTCTCCTCTCGGGATCTTGGGCACGCACGCACAAATGCCAGGCATGAGTTTTAAGCCACTGGGTCTGGGATGCAAACCGCGGTCGACTACGTGGGAGTCCAGCAACATAGCCATTACGCTAACTGCTGGTTCCCAAGAGACACCACTTTTGTTATTGCATTTGAGGACAATTCTACCTCCTCTGTGACAGTTCAGGAGTTAAAGAGAAAAGGCCAGTTGACGTAATCAACCATATGATGTGGCCAGTGCTGCTGACATCATCCATGTGGATTTCTACACCTGGTGACGTAAACTCATTCCTTTTTATTTGTTACTGAAAACTGTCCAGTCTGGGCTGGCTGAGACTGGTGGTGAACTGTGATGTGAAGACCCTGCTGGGGATGCCTGTCTCTTTGTACCTCCCTCTTTTTCGCTTTCTTTCTCTCTTTCATGGAAGAAAGAAAGAGTAATTATCTAGTTATAGCAACAAAAAGAACTTAATGGATTTTCAACTCACTTCTAAGTTCCCAGAGCTGCACCACCCAATATAGGAACTGCTGGCCTGTATCTCTTTAAATGTAAACTGATTAAAATGAAATAAAATTAAGAATTTGGGTCTTCATTGCACTGCCCACATGTCCATGCTCAGTAGCCATATACCTGGTATACAGGACAGCACAGAAATGGAACATTCCATCATCACACATTCTTCTTCTTTTTTTTTTGCTCTAGGGTACGTGCACTCACCCAAGAGACAGACAGAAAGTGAGAAATCACCTCCCATCCCCTGGGGGATGGCCACACCACAATCCCTTCTCCTCCAGTTACTTCTCGGGACTTTGGACATGCATGCACACATGTCTATCATGAGTTTTAAGCTGCTAGGTCTAGGACTTGAACAGCAGTCAACTATGAGGAATCCAATGATGTCACCATTATGCCATCTGCTGATCCTACTATCATAACACATTCTAACACTGTGGTTCTTGACAGAAATATACTCAAATCCTTCCAAAAAAGCTCTATCCTGAACCAGTAGGTGGCATAATGGTTACGTTGCTAGATTCCCACATAGCCGACTGCGCTTTGGGTCCAAGACCCAAAGGCTTAAAACGCACCAGGTACAAGGACCAGCAGTTAGCGTAATGGCTATGTTGCTGGACTCCCATGTACTCGACTGCGGTTTGTGTCTTGGACCCGGTGGCTTAAAACTCACGCTGGTGCGTGCCCAAGATCCCGAGAGGAGAATGGAGGAGAAGGGATTGCGGCATGGCCATCCCCCCTGGGGAGTGATTTCTCATTTTCTGTCTGTCTGTCTGGCGAGCACACGTGCCCTACAGCAAAAACCTCTCAAAAAAAAAAAAAAACACACCACACCAGGCACATTGCATGTGTGCCCAAAATCCTGAGAAGAGAATAGAGGATAAGGGATTGAAGCATGGCCATCCTTCCTGAAGGGATGATTTTTTGCTGTCTGTCTCTCTGGCAAGTGCACATGCCCTAGAGTAAAAATCTCTCTTAAAAAAATAAAAAGAGCTCTATTCCAGTGTGTAGTTTTCACTAAAAATCTATTTCATACATTTTATCATTTGAGTTTCAAATAGTACTGGTACAAAATGGCCTAGTCATTAATTACAGCATGCAGCCATGGTTATTTCCATAGAAGAGAATCACAAAGATCTCTTATAAAAGCACCAAGGTTTCATGTATTCTCTGCAAATTCCTTGGACCTCTGTGTCCCCTGGGAAGCCTCTCTGCTCACCTGAATGTCACAGGGGAGATCTTCCCCATGAGGGCGTAGGCTGTAACGCTCTGAAGATGGAACAGGACTCCGTCCATCAGGAGCAGCAGTACCATGTCTTGGTTATAAGTGAAGCTCCTTCCAGTTCTCCCAATCACTGGCATGTCCTATGTGCCAGAACAGAAGGACACGGTAAGGCCTGTGTTTTGCTTTCAGTGACCACCCACCAAACAACATGATCTCATTTGTCTGGGTCACTGGGCAAAGCCATTGACACTGAGGAGAGTCCTGAAAATAGCCTGGTACGGTAATAACTAATTGAATTTATCAAAATTTTCGACATGCATATACAAACCAAAAAGCACAAGAAAAGATGTTCAATATCATGAATCATTAGGGAAATACAAATAAAACGCACAGCGAGACATTACAGACACCCACTTAGGTGGCTACTGCCAAAAACAAGAAATTACAATAAGAAACAAAACAAAACGCAGAAAACAAGTGTTGGTGAGAATGAGAAACTGGAACTGATGCACACTGCTGGTGCGAAGGTAAAATGGCGCAGCCACTGTGGAAAACATTTTGGTGGATCTTCAAATAACTGAACGTAGCATTACCACATGATCCAACAATTCTACTTCTGGGTCCATACCCAAAATAATTGAAAGCAAGGGGACAAGCAGATGGAGTAATGGTTACATTGCTAGACTCCTGCATGGCCAACCATAGTTCGAGTCCTGGATCTGGTGGCTTCAAACTCATGCTAGGCGTGTGTGTATGTGTTCCCAAAATCCTGAGAGGAGAATGGAGGAGAAGGGATTGTGGCATGGCCATCCCCCTTAGTAGGTGATTTCTCGCTTTCTGTTTCTCTATCTCCATCTTTCTGGCGAGTGAACACGCTCTATAGCAAAAATCTCTCTTAAAGAAAGAATTGAAAGTAGCGTCTCAAGAGAGAGCATGCAGCCATGTTCATAGCAGCATTATCATAATACCTAAAATGTGTAAGCTACCCAAGTGTCCATTAAGATGAGTAGATAAACAAAATGTGACTCATCTACATGATGGAATATTATTCAGCCTTAAGGACGGAAGTTCTGACATGTGCTATGACACAGATAAACCTCAAAAATGTTGTGCTCAGTGAAATAGGCCAGGAGGGACCAGCAGATGGTGTAAAGGTTACGTTGCTGGACTCCCACATGGCCGAGTGCAGTTTGAGTCCTGGACTCAGTGGCTTGAAACTCATAGTGTATGTGCATGCGTGCCCAAGTTTCCAGGAGGACAGTGGAGAAGAGACTGGAGTATGGCACCCCTGGGGGGTGATTTCTTGTTTTCTGTCTCTGGCGAGGGCACACATCCTATACCAAAAATCCCTCCTTAAAAAAAAAAAAGCAAAGAAATAAGCCAGACACAAAAGGACAAATACTGTGTAGTTCCACTATGAGATACCTAGAGTAGTGAAATTCATAGAAACACAAAGTAGAATGGGGACTTCCAGGGACTGGGAGATAGGAATGAGGAATTAGTGCCCAATGGGTACAGTCTCAGCTCTGCAAAATGAAAAGAATTCTGGAGATGGATGGGGTGATGGCTGCACAACAGTGTGAATGTACATTATGCCCCTGAATGGCACACCTGGAATGGTGAAATGTAAATTTTGGGGCAGTGGTGGTGACATGGTTAAGGTGGCTAGATCCCACAGGGTTGACTATGTGGTCTGAGCTCCAAACCCAGCAACGTGAAAAACATGCCAGGTACGTGTCTGCCTGAGCCCTAAATTCTGAGACAAGAATGGTATAGAAAGGACTGTAGTGTGGCCATCCCTCAACGGGAGTTTTCTCACTTTCCCTTTTTCTCTCTCTTCTCACTCCCACACCCAGCAGATTAAAAAAAAGAAAGAAAGAAAGAAAGAAAGGGGACCAGCAGTTAGCGTAATGGCTATGTCGCTGGACTCTCATGTAGTTGACCGCAGTTCGAGTCCCGGACCTGGTGGCTTAAAGTTCACGCTGGGTGCGTGTGTGTGCGTGCCCAAGATCTCAAGAGGAGAATGGAAGAGAAGGGATTACGGCGTGGCCATCCCCCCAGGGGGTGATTTCTCACTTTCTGTCTCTCTGTCTCTCTCTGTCTGTCTGGCGACTGCACAAGCCCTATAGCAAAAACCTCTCCAAAAAAAAGGAAGAAAAGGGGCTGGCTGGTGTCATGGCGGTTAAGGCACTGGACTCTCACATGGCCAACTGCAGTTTGAGTCCTGGATCTGGTGACATGTTTTCTCCTTTCCCTTTTCTAATCTCTCTGGTCAGATTAAAAAATAATAACAAATGGAATTAATTAAATAAATCTTAAAAAAAATTTTTAAAGGGTAAATTTTATGTTATGCAAATTTTGTCACACATGTGAAAAACTAAACGTGCATACATGCATGTCCTTTCAATCAACCATTCTAATTCTTTTTTTTTTTTGGTGGGAGAGAGGTTGTTGCTATAGGGTGCGTGCGCTCACCAGAAAGACAAAGAGAGACAGAGAGACAGAAAGCAAGAAATCACCCCCCAGGAGGGATGGCTATGCCACAATCCCTTCTCCTCCATTCTCCTCTCAGGATCTTGGGCACACGCACATATGCGCACAGCATGAGTTTTAAGCCACTGGGTCTGGGACTCGAAACGCAGTTGACTACATGGGAGTCCAGTGACGTAGCCATTATGCCAACTGCTGGTCCCACACTGTTCTATTTCTAAAACCTACCATGAAGAAGATCCAAGCTGGAATCAGCATAGCCATGGCAGCAGCACTGGTATAGAACTGCAGCTCCGGAGCCCTGTGGGGTAACAGAAGGTGCTTACTGTCTCCCCAGATCCAGGAGGACACAAGGTTCTAACCCAGGTATTTCATAGCAAGAATAGTCTAAAGCAGAGAAGTCTTCAGTCTTTTAGTACTAGGGACCAGTTTTGCAAAAGACAATTTTTCCATGGACTGGAGGCAAGGGGGGATGGTTTCAAGATTATTTAAATGCATTATATTCATTGTGCACTTTACTTCTATTATTGTTATATTATTATATATAATGAAATAATTATACAACTCACCATAATGCAGTATTTGCAGCTGCTCCCCAGTGCCAGCATCACTGCCCCAGCTCCAGAATCACATCAGCTCCACCTCAGATCATCAGGCATTACATTCTCATAAGAGGCAAACAACCTAGTTCTCTTGCACATGCAGTTTACAAATTGGGTTCACATTCCTATGAGAATCTAATGCCATTGCTGATCTGACAGGAGACACAGCTCAGGGGGTAATACCAGTGATAGGGAGCAGCTGGAAATACAGACGAAGCTTTGCTTGCCTGCTCACCGCTCAGCTCCTGCTGTGTGGCCTAGTTCCTAACCCTTGTTCCTCTATTGGGAAGCCCTGGTCTAAAGTACTTATACATACCAGAAATTTATTTTCTCTGGGACAAAAAGGAAGGGTCTCATGGGTGTCTAGGAATTAAAAGGCTACAGCTAATGTTAAGGCGGCTAAGTGATGCAGCCAAAAAACCGATATTTCACCCCCTAAGTTTTGACAAAGTATTTTTTTTTAGAGGTTTTTGCTATAGAGCGCGTGCGCTCGCCAGACAGACAGAGAGACAGAAAGCGAGAAATCACCCCCCAGGGGGCATGGCCATGCCGCAATCTCTTCTCCGTTCTCCTCTTGGGATCTTGAGCACACATGCACACACGCCTGGCGTGAGTTTAAGCCACCAGGTCCAGTACTCGAACTGCGGTCAGCTACATGGGAATCCAGCGACATAGCCATTACGCTAACTTCTGGTTCCTGACAAAGTATTTTTAAAGACCACCTCAGTCAATGGGACCAGCAGTTAGTGTAATGGCTATGTCACTGAATGTAGCTGACCGCAGTTCGAGTACTGGACCTGGTGGCTTAAACTCACGCCAGGCGTGTGTGCATGTGTGCTCAAGATCCCAAGAGGAGAACGGAGAAGAGATTGCGGCATGGCCATGCCCCCTGGGGGGTGATTTCTCGCTTTCTGTCTCTCTCTCTCTCTGTCTTTCTGACAAGTGCACGTGCACTATAGCAAAACCCTCTCCAAAAAAAAAGAGACCACCTCAATCAAAATGGGAAATGTGGCAGGGTATTCTGAATCTTAAAATGGGCAAGAAATCCTCTTGGGCCCATGAAGTTGTAGATTTTACTTACTGATGATACTTACGAGAACCTGTATTTGTCCCCACTGAGGAGCTTCTTGGAAAAAACATTTTGCAAACTAGAATAAAGAAAAGAAGAGGTTATGCATAGAAGTGGTTGGTATACAACACTAAATGATCAAGGTATTTGCATTCTCACAAAATGAAGATAGTGATGACTATATGTTGGAGACCCGCCACTGAACACTTTCTGTGAGACAGGTACCATGCCTTTCCCCTTTACCAATGGGTAAACTGAGGCACTCAGAGGTTGAACCACTTGCCTGGGGTTACCCCTCTCTTAGGTGTCAGAGGACCCAAGAGCCTACACTAAAGTACTTCACAAAACTCTAAGTAAAATGTTGCTGGACTCCCATGTAGTAGAGTGCAGTTCGAGTCCCAGACCTAGTGGCTTAAACTCATGCCAGGCGTGTGTGCTTGTGTGCCCAAGATCCTGAGAGGAAAATGGAGGAGAAGGGATTGCGGCGTGGCCATCGCCCCTGGTGGGTAATTTCTTGCTTTCTGTCTCTCTGTTGAGTGCATGTGCTCTGTAGCAAAAACCTCTGTCCCCCCCAAAAAAAAAAACCTTAAGAAAAAGTTGCTATGAACCAGCGACTTCCATAGCTGGGTATCTGAAGATCTTCCAGGTATGTGCATGACTGAATAAAACAGACTGCTTACATAAATGAGAACTCCAGTAAAAAACATGGACGAAACTCATGATTCAGACAAACCATTGGGAAAGCATATAAATGACCAAAGAGAAAATAGAATCACATCTAGTTTTACAAGTAACCAGAGATCAGAACTTAAAACAATGAGTCCCAGGACTGGCAGGTGGAGTGATAGTTAAAAGCACTGGGCACCGGGGCTGGCAGGTGGTGCAGTGGTTAGAGTGATGGACTCCCACATGGCTGACTGCAGCTCATGTCCTGGATCTGATGGCTTGTTTTCTTACTTTTCCTTTCTCTCTCTGGACAAATTAAAGAATAAATAATAATAGAAAATAAAATACAATAAATGAATTTTTGGGGGGAGAGGTTTTTGCTATAGGGCACGTATACTCACCAGAAAGACAGAGACAGAGAGACAGAAAGCAAGAAATCACCCCCTGGGGGGATGGCCAAGCTGCAATCCCTTCTCTGTTCTCCTCTTGGGATCTTGGGCATCCATGGACATGCGCCTGACGTGAGTGTAAGTCACCGGGCCCAGGACTTGAACCACGGTTGACTACATGGGAGTTCAGCAACATAGCCATTATGCAAACTGTGGTCCCATGAATGAATTTTTTTTTTGAGAGGTTTTCACTATAGGGCGCATGCACTCGCCAGACAGACAGAGACATAGAGACAGAAAGCGAGAAATCACCCCCCAGGGGGGGTGGTCACGCCGCAATCCCTTCTCCTCCATTCTCCTCTCGGGATCTTGGGCACACACACACACGCGCCCGGCGTGAGTTTTAAGCCACCGGGTCAGGGACGCGAACAGCGGTCGACTACGTGGAAGTTCAGCGACATAGCCATTACGCTAACTGCTGGTTCCCGAATTTTTAAAAATTATTATTTAACTTTTTAAAATTTTTTATTTTATTGATTTTGACTTGAGCAGAGAGGGACAGAGTGAGAGAGAGAGGGAAAGTGAGAAAGCAAGCCGCCAAGTCGGGTACTCGAACTGTGGTTGTCCAGTGCCCTTAACCACCACGCCACCTGCCGGCCCCAATGAATTTTTTTTTTTTTTTTAAGCACTGGATTTCCATATTTCCCATATGGCTGACCATGGTTTGAGTTCCAGAGCTAGCAGCTTGCTTTCTCGCTTTCCCTTTCTCTCTCTCTCTTTGTCTCTAGTCAAATTAAAAGGTAATAATAACAAATGGAATTAAATAAATAAATCTTTAAAAAAAAAATAATGAGTCCCAACTATCTAGACTCAAATGAAAGAGGATTTTTTTTTTAATTCAGTGCCAAAATTTAGCTGAGGGTCAGCCCTATACTATAATAGTTAAGCCCTGCACAGAAGAAGCTCGATCCCACATGGCTGACCAGGTTTCAAGTTCCAGCCCAGTCAGCTTATAAAACATGCCAGGTGTGCACATGCCCTGGACCCTGACAGGACAGAGAACTGAAAGGAATGGAATTGCAGAGTGATCAGAAGGTGCGTTCTCTCTCTCTCACACGTGTGCACACATTCTGGCATTAAAATAAATATCAGCCAAGTACAAGGTCAGATGAAAACTCTTACTGACAGGACTACAAACAGAACAATGGTTTCAAAAAGAGTCTGACAACATGGATCAGGAGCCTTTAGAAATGCTGGGACCAGCAGATGGCGTGGTGAAGGCACTGGACACTCCCAGAAGGCCAACCACAGTTAACAGTCCTAGATCTGATGGCTTGCTTTCTCACTTTCACTCTCTCTCTCTGGTCAAATTTAAATACATAAATGAACAGATAAAATTAAATAAATAGTTCTTTTAAAAAAAAAAAAGGAGAAAGAAAAAAAATGCTCTGTGGGTGGGCCAGCAGGTGGCGTGGTAGTTAAGGCACTGGACTTCCACACGGCTGACAGCAGTTCGAGTTCCAGACCTAGCAGCTTGCTTTCTCATTTTCCCTCTCTCTCTGGTCAAATTTTAAAATAACAATAATAAGGACCAGCAGATAGTGTAATAGTTATGTTGCTGGACTCCCACACAGTCAACTACAGTTTGAGTCTTGGACCTGGTGATTTAAACCTCATGCTGGGTGTGTGTGCATTCATGCCCGAGATCCCAAGAGGAGAATGGAGGAGAAGGGATTACAGCATGGCCATTTTCCCTGGGGGATGATTTCTTGCTTTCTGTCTCTCTGGCGAGCACACACGCCCTATACCAAAAATCTCTCTCTCAAAACAAAAATCAAATCAAATTAAATTAGTAATTTTTAAAAAAAGAAGGAAAGAAATGCTTGTGGGCTTGACCCCGAAATTTGCCTTCTAGGAATTTACGGGACAGTCAGAAGCTGAGACAGTTTTATGTAAAAGTTATTCCCTGCAGATCTATTTCTGAAAGTGAAGGACTAGAGACTTCAGCACCGAAAGCACCATGAGGTCACAGTGCATGTACATAATGAGGGGGTCACAGAAGTCAGGTGTGAGAGAACACGAAGCATCCAGTTAATGGAGCAAGACACAAATGGGACATACAATATAATCCATGGTCTGTTTCTATTATAAGAACCACAAATGCAGAGGAGAAAAGCCAAAAGGAATATACCAAAATGTAAAGTGACATGGAAGATGATTTTCATTTTTACTCAGTTATAGCATTCAAAATCTCAAGGTGAGCTAGTCTACTTTAGTGGTAACTGTTTATTACTATATTAATAAACTCTTAGTTACCAGTGTTACTGTTTTCTCTCTTTTCTCAAAAATAGGAGAAGCCTAGGAGCAATTAGGAATTCGGAAAGAACAATTTTGCCAGGGCTGAAGAGTGGACTTTGTAACACGGTGGGGACACGAGATGAGCAACTCTGGGTGAGAACTGTGTTCCTCTTCCTTACTGCAGGACAGGGACGGTAATAATATGACACTTTTTCTCTGGGATTTCACCACAGAGCTGTCCTCTCCATGTAAGTCAGCCTCTCACGTCCTCTTTGTATGCAGGACACAGAAGGCCACTTGCTAGGCTAGGAACCCCCAGAACAACTAGGCAGCCCAGCTCTCTAGGGGGCAAACATGGCCACTCTGGGTACTGCGCCTAGCTCAAATGTACTGTACACCCACATACACTAGGGGCAGTGCTGAGTCTCTGCTCTGCACATTTCAGTATATATTAGCTGATCACATCCCTGAGAATAGCATTTTAAGTATGAAGACCATGTATTATCAAATTTTGATTTGTTTCTGAGAAAAAAGTTAATGTTACTGGGGCACTTATGGCTTCGTTGTTGAGAAAAAGGCAGTATCAGATGCACCGGACTTTGAATTATAGGAAGTAATTATGAGGTAATTTAGGTTGGAATACCCATAAATGCAAAACGTGAGCACTGTTTCTCAAGCAGCCCTGTGTACACCCAAACATCCGCCAGAACTTACCAGTCCATGATGTTGGTAGATAACGCAGCCGAAAACCCCAAAATGTTGAAGCTTATCTCAGTTGCTGTGCACAGCGCCAGCCCTCCCATGACTGGGATGAGGGAGAGGTTGACCAGCAGCCCTGGCAAGAGCACGTCACAGGTGACTGGTGGTGTTTAGCAGGCTGATGCTCCCTCCCAGGTGCCAAGCTTGCTCTCATTCCCCTTTTACAAAAGGTCTGGACTTGTACTTCAGTTATAATACAAAATGAACACCTACCAGTTTCTTTACATTGGAGGGGAAATAAAGCAAATGAAAGTCTATGTCTGCAAATAAGCCGTCACCTTCGCCAAAACAGGCACCTAGCAAGGCTGCAGCAGATGCATCTCTAAGAGGCACGTCTGCTGGACCTCAATGACTTGACAACTGTCACAGGCATCCAAATCCCTCCTCCCATATGGCACCTATGACTCCACAAACACTCACTTTCAAAATGAAGAGGGTGAGGGGCCGGCAGGTGGCATGGTGGTTAAGTGTGCTGGACTCGCACATGGCTGACCACGTTTTGAGTTCTGGACCTGGTGGCTTGTTTTCTCACTTTCTCTCTCACTTTCTCGCTTTCTCTCTCTCTGTGTCCCTCTCTGGCCAAATTAAAATAAATAAATAAACTTTAAATAAAATATTTATTTTTAAAAATGCAGAGGGTGAATGAGATGGCTCTAGGTAATTGTAAACAAAAGATAAAATTCAGAGGCCAGCGGAATCCCATTTCAATTTGTGACCCCCACAATCCCTAAGACTCTGCTCAGATTTTCACTCTCTGTACAACAGTCAGCAAAAGTCTCTTGGGAGGATGGTCCTATATATTGAGGTCACTTTTCAGGGTGACTCTGGGCTCAAAAATCTTAGTCCCTCAAGTCCTAGCACCTCATCCATTTGCTAATACTTTCCCCACAGATTCTTTTTGCTAAAAATTTCCCCTATCCTGCTTGTTCTTTCTATCAAAATTTATCAACTTTTTAATTGCTCTCAGCAAGAAACTTGGCTAGCTTTCACCTCAAATGCCATGAGGCAGACGCTTGCCTTAGTTTTCAGATCTTAGCAGTTGAAAAACAGAAACAAACATGTGTACCAGAGACTTCAAAAAGTTTGTGTAGGGCCAGTCACGTAGGATGGTGGTTAAGGTGGCTGGATCCCACATGGCCAACTCTGTGTTTTGAGTCTCAGACCTAGTGGTTTTAAAAACATGCTGGGTGCCTGTGTGTACATGCCCCACATCCCAGGAGAATGGAGGAGAAAGGGATTGTTCTTTTCTTTCTTTTTTTTTTTTTTTTTTTTGCTACAGAGCGCGTGGGCTTGTCAGAAAGACAGAGAGAGACATAGAGACAGAAAGCGAGAAATCACTCCCCAGGGGGATGGCCACGCTGCAATCCCTTCTCCTCCATTCTCCTCTCAGGATCTTGGGCACTCTAAGAGGCACGTCTGCTGGACCTCAATGACTTGACAACTGTCACAGGCATCCAAATCCCTCCTCCCATATGGCACCTATGACTCCACAAACACTCACTTTCAAAATGAAGAGGGTGAGGGGCCGGCAGGTGGCATGGTGGTTAAGTGTGCTGGACTCGCACATGGCTGACCACGTTTTGAGTTCTGGACCTGGTGGCTTGTTTTCTCACTTTCTCTCTCACTTTCTCGCTTTCTCTCTCTCTGTGTCCCTCTCTGGCCAAATTAAAATAAATAAATAAACTTTAAATAAAATATTTATTTTTAAAAATGCAGAGGGTGAATGAGATGGCTCTAGGTAATTGTAAACAAAAGATAAAATTCAGAGGCCAGCGGAATCCCATTTCAATTTGTGACCCCCACAATCCCTAAGACTCTGCTCAGATTTTCACTCTCTGTACAACAGTCAGCAAAAGTCTCTTGGGAGGATGGTCCTATATATTGAGGTCACTTTTCAGGGTGACTCTGGGCTCAAAAATCTTAGTCCCTCAAGTCCTAGCACCTCATCCATTTGCTAATACTTTCCCCACAGATTCTTTTTGCTAAAAATTTCCCCTATCCTGCTTGCTCTTTCTATCAAAATTTATCAACTTTTTAATTGCTCTCAGCAAGAAACTTGGCTAGCTTTCACCTCAAATGCCATGAGGCAGACGCTTGCCTTAGTTTTCAGATCTTAGCAGTTGAAAAACAGAAACAAACATGTGTACCAGAGACTTCAAAAAGTTTGTGTAGGGCCAGTCACGTAGGATGGTGGTTAAGGTGGCTGGATCCCACATGGCCAACTCTGTGTTTTGAGTCTCAGACCTAGTGGTTTTAAAAACATGCTGGGTGCCTGTGTGTACATGCCCCACATCCCAGGAGAATGGAGGAGAAAGGGATTGTTCTTTTCTTTCTTTTTTTTTGAGAGGTTTTTGCTACAGAGCGCGTGGGCTTGTCAGAAAGACAGAGAGAGACATAGAGACAGAAAGCGAGAAATCACTCCCCAGGGGGATGGCCACGCTGCAATCCCTTCTCCTCCATTCTCCTCTCAGGATCTTGGGCATACATGCACATGCGCCCAGCATGAGTTTAAGCCACCGGGTCCGGGACTCGAACCACGGTTGACTACATGGGGAGTCCAGTGACATAGCCATTACTCCAACTGCTGGTCCAAAGAAGGGATTGTGGTGTGGTCATCTCCCCAGGTGTGGCACATGTACCCTACAGCAATAATTTAAAAAACAAAAAGTTCATGGAATTAAAGGGAGTTAAAAGTACAAGTATTTTAGTGCCTCCATCAAAAAATTGAAATTCACACAGGTTTTCAATAACCTGCATTTTCCATGAACATTCTGAAAGATACTTCATATACTCAGATAAACGATTACATTTTCAATGCCTCATTCTGTACCTTGCTTGTTTTCATGTAGCAACATCGAATCTGCTAGTTTTTAAAAGGCCAGTGGGAAAACTGGGGCATGGGTCTGACATGTAGTTGGAAATACTCTGCATGTCATTAAAGGCTAGAGATTTGTCAATAAGTCTAACTGGCTGAGTCTTGGGGAGGATGGAGAAGCAGCAGCCAGAAGAGTAAGAACGAGGTTCAAGAGAAGGTGGGCAGGCAGCTGCAAGTGGGGTGGGCAGGACACTCAAGCCAGTGAGCTCCAAGGATAAGCCACTGAGGGCAAGGAGGTCACTTTACCACCTCTGAAGATGAAGCCCTCCAAACAGCCCCTGCCTTATCTTCCTTGGAACAGAGACAGAACCTGTTTGAGGTTTATTTACCTACTTCCTACCAGTCTCCCACCTAGCAGTGGGGCCACAAGCCACAGCTCTCCTCTGGCCCCACAGGTCAACCTGAGAACATCCCGGCATGTACCTGGCTCAAAAACACATCTGCTCAAATGACACTGTAAGGCAACTTTGACCGCTAGGAAATCGTATCAGGAGAGAAGTAAAGGCAGCCCCCAGTGCTGTTTGGCTTCAGAGCTGCTGCTGCTGTTTGGCCCTCCTGCATGGAGCTGCCAGAGTCCTGCACACACACAGTGGCCAGATGGGGACACAGCCTGAGGAGGGAAGGACGATGAGACCATAGCCCAGGTGGAAAGGGGTGCAGGGGCTCCCTCACCTGTGTACTCCCCCAGGATCATCCGAGACATAATCACAGTGAAGATGGGGGCGGAACTCTTCACTGTTTCAGCAAATGAAACTGCAACATTTTTGAGACTGACCAAACCCAAAACCACTGTTGCAAACCTAAAAATAAGCAAAAAGCATCATTATAGAATGAATCTGCCTATTGCAACGCTAAGACAGGACCTCCATCAGGCCCACCTGACCCCCTTTGCTCACTTCCCTCCCCTGGCGATCCGTGCCTAAACCAATGTCCGTAATATCTCAGGCTGAGGCCCCCAGGACATGGCCTTGCCTCCCCACATAAGGTGACTTCTATTGGTCCTCAACAATGCCAGAACATCCCCTAAAGAAGGAGGCACAATATCCTCAGACCATTATTAAGTTTGTCTTCATGGTCAGTCCAGAAAAAATCTAAGTATATGTGTCATCAAGATCCTCAAAACTGTCCTAGCTTGTGGTGCGTTGGTTAAGGCAGCTCGATCCCACATGGCAATCACATAGCTCCGTCCCGGGCCTGCCAGCCTGAGAAACACACTGGACATGTGCATGTGCAAGCCCAAAATCTCGAAGGAAGGGAGAGATGGCAGAGAAAGGACTGCTGTGTGACCGTTTCACATGGTGGGGGCGGGTGCTTTCTTCTCTTCCTCTCTTAGCAAGCACACATATACCCTCGCACAAAAAAACAAACAAAAACAAACCAAAAAAGATTTTCTTAACCAAATTAATTTGGTGACCTAAAATCTAGACGGCTCTTACGGTTTTGTCAAGTTTTCACTGAAAATGCATCTACAAGCACCTAGCTACAAAGTCAGCATACTCCCCACTCTTTGTCTTTCTTAGACTTTTTAAGGGCCAGCTGATGGCAAGGTGGTTAAGATGAATGGATCTCAAATGGCTGACTCAGCAGAGTCAGTTCAAGTCCTGGACCCAGTGTCTTGAAAAAAATACTGGACATGTTGAGACCAGCAGAGGGCATAATGGTTATGTCGCTGAACTCTCACATGGCTGACCATGGTTCGAGTCCCAGACCCGGAGGCTTGAAACATGCTGGGTACATGTGCATGCGTGCGTGCTCAAAATCCCAAGATGAGAACAGAGAAGAGACTGTGGTGTGGCAATCCCCTCTGGGAGGATTTCTCACTTTCCCTCTCTTTTCTGTCTCTCAGGAGCACATGTGTCCTAAGGCAAATCCTCTTAAAAAAAAAAAAAAAGAATACTCATTGCCCTGAATTGTATCAATATTCTGTTCCAATAAGTATTGGAGCACCAACAGAAAACTTGAAAAATGATACAGTGTCAGGTAAACTAGATTAACTTTATCTACATGGATGGTCTAAATCTTTGACTTTGGAAAGATAAGTAAATAAATAAAGTTAATAAAATAATTATTAAAAAAAGAATTATGTATTTAAAAAGAAAAGTACTAGGCATATGTGCATGCCTAAAATCCCAAGAACAGAAATGGAGGAGAAAGGATTGTGGTGGTGGGAACATGTGTGTGATTTCCCTCTGTCTGTCTCTCTAGCAAGTACACACATTCCATGGCAAAAACTAAAAACAAAAAAAAAGGCATTTTATGCCAGAAATAAATTAGGCACTCAACCAAAACCGTGAGATTCTGGGCTGAAGCCACGGTATAGGAGTAGTGCACTGCTCAGAAGAAGCTGGATCCTGCACAGCGACCATGGTTCAGTCCCCAGCCCAGTCACCTTAGACACACTGGGCATGTGCACGAATGCCCAAGACCTAGTGAGCTGGAGGACTGGAAGAAGGGTCTTATACCATGACCAGATCCTGTGGATGCTCATCTCTCTCTCTCTCTCTCTCTCTCTTTCTCATGTATGATCATGCACTCAATCACGAATAAAGAAAAAACACTTTAAAAAAAAAAAGGGGGGAAATGTGAGATTCCTTACCTCATTAGACCTACGAATAGCATGGTCATGATGAAATTGGGTGGGTAAGAAAGCCGGGTTTTGTGCTGATATAAACAGCAAGGAACAAATATTTTAATGCATCCAATAAACGTAGTCGACAGCATTTGCACCGCACCTGAAACAGGGAGACAAAGAGGCCGTGCTGTAAAGAGGATCCTTGCCTTTCCCACCACACAGGCAGAAAGAATACATTGCTATAGGCCAGAGGCTCATTTGGAAGAAGGCCAGCTCTCGTCCCTGTCCCCTTAGCTGTCTCCTCCCACACACCCAGGTGACCGCAGGCCATTCTTCCTACTCACAGCAAGCGAACTCATTAAGCAGCCAGTATGAGGGGCCTGCGGCTGGCTCCCGCACCTCCTCCCTGGCCCCCGGGGCAGGAGAGCAGCCCAGGCATTACCTAACATGCTGGGCTCGCCTTCCAACAGGGACAGGATGTACTTGTTGAGGAAGAAGCTGAAGAAGAACCAGAGCGTGAGGTAGAGCAGCGCCCGCGAGCTCCACACACCCAGGTCTGACTCGATGACAGTGGTCTCCGTGATGGTGATGGTCAGCACGTTCTCATCAGGGCTGCCATCGGCCTTGGTAAAAACGATCTTCTCACTTCGATGACCGAAAAGAGAGCCCCAGGGCAGAAGCGACTTTCCTTTGGGCTTCTCCTCGGAACCAGGCGCAAGTTCTTCCAGGGCTTGGGTTTTTGCTGAAGACGACATGCTGAGGCCACCTCCGGGAAGGGCAGTTTTATCTCAAAGTCAGACAACATGGGTCACACCTACCATCAGGTACGCAGATGTGAAGAGGAGTTCGGAAGGAAGCGGAGACCCTGGCCGGTATAAACGTGATTTCCGAAGTGTGTGTGTCCAGCAAGCATGGAAACAGAGGCTGAGATGCTAAGGAAAGAAAACACATTACTTACTTTTAATCACCAGGCTCCCCCCGTACTGTAGTTGTTAAGGCAGCCAGATCCCACATGGCTAACTATGGCTTGAATCCTGGCCCTGGTGGTTTGAAAAACACACCAGATGTGTGTACATGCACGCCCAAATTCCTGATAGGATGGAGAAATGGAGAAGGGACTGAGGCATGAGCACATCCCACTGGGGATGCTTTCTTTCTCTTTCTCCAGTCAGTGCACATTAGCAATTTAAAAAGTCTTAATTAGCAATTATAAATAAGTTTAAAAATGCAAATATGGGGGCCAGCAAGTGGCATGGTGGTTAAGATGCTGGATTCCCACATGTTCGACCACGGTTCTGGTCTAGTACCTGGAGGCTTGACAATCATGCTGGGCATTTGTGTGTGCATGCCCCCAAATCCCAAGGAGATTGGAGAATGGAGAAGGGGCTGTAGCATGGCCATCCTCTCCGAGGGGTCACTTTCCCTGCCTCTCTTCAGTGACCATACTCGCCCTATGGCAAAAACCTAAGGAAAAAAAAAAAAAAAAAAAGGCAACTATGGAATTTGGGCCTCATTATCAGGTTTGTCTTAGTCTGCTGCCCTGAAAAAGTAGAAACACCTACAATCCCAGATCTCTGGTACTCAAAATTGATCAAAGTTCCTTCCTCTTCTCCACACACCCAGACCTCCAGTGTATCCTGCCAGAACTACTCAAAAACGGAACACAAATCTGACCCTGGCCTTTTCTCTCCTGCTCTACCCAGTGCAGGGCACCATGAGCTTCCCTCCACCTCCCTTCACCTTGCTGGGGTGGTACGAAAGACACTAAGAGCCCTACCCAGGCCACCCAGAACCTCAGATTGACCCTCCTGGGCTACTTCTTACAGGAGCTAAACAGCTGCCTCTGTGCAAGCCCAGCACAGGCACAGGCTCTGCAGTTGGGCCCCCTCCCAGACTAGCCCGCACACACTTTCATGCTTAGGGCCTCAGTGCCCTCGCCCCCTCTTTGTTCCCTTCACCTCCAGGAGGCCTTTTTTTTTTGCCTCCTTTCCCTCCGTGGCTCCACCTTTTCAGTCAAGGCCAAATTCTAGTAGCACTAGGACCTCTCCTCTGGAGACTGTCACGATACTCATCACATGTGCTCCACGGCCACCTCTGAGTTCCAGACCCGAACTTGTTTGCATGGCAAGGAGCTGACACCTAAGCAACGTGCACGGGCTGGAAAACAGAACAAAGATCTGAGCACCTTCCCGTGCATTTTTGTTGGGTCAGCACTGAGAATAGATCTGTCTAGTCATGAAGATATCGTACCCACTCACTCCCACAGCGCTGCTCATGCTCAGTTGTGGTGAGCCACTGTCCTGGCCCCTGCTTCGTGCCCACGTGGTTCAGCCCTCTCCATTCCTGGTTCGGCTCCCACATTAATACTGTGAAACATCCTCATGACCAGCATCCACGTCCTCCTAGCTACAAAGCCACAGAAGGAAGCAGGTCTAATCTTCCTCCCACATAAGCAGCTCGCACTGCATAAATTGGCTGCACATTCCAATATTCGGGAACACAGAGGGTGTCCACCCCCACCCCAGATCAAAGCTGGGGCCTGAAGATCTTGAATGAAGTCCAAGTGTCACAATTCCTTTTTAGTTTCTTAGCCAATTCCAGGGCAGTCAGGTGGAAAGTTTCTTTGCCGAGCCACCCCTCCTGAGACAGCCACTGTTTTGTTCAAGTCATTAATCATCCCAGTTGGAAATACCCAACAGTCTAAATGCAATGGGTTCCAGACTAAAACTGTCTATATGTGACTTTTCCAGAGTCAATACAGGTGGCAAGGAACAATATGAGGAGAAAACATGAACCAACCTAGGCTGATTTTAGTAACAGAGAGTCAGGGGGCCCCAGGGACAATGTGTGGACCATTCTGACACCTCACAAGTCTGCCTGAAGATGAGTATTTAATGCAGTATTTTCTAAAACTCATGATAGAGATTATGGGTGCACGAGAGTAGGAGTACAGCCTCCACAGGGCTTGAGATCCCCTCCCTCTCTCTCTCCAGACTACCAGATCCTGGGCACATGTGCACATACCCAGTGTGCTTTCAAGTCCATGGTCGGGGACTCAAACTGCACTTGGCACGGAGCTTCCGCCTCCGTAGTCTGGTAGCAGCCGGCTACACCATGCAGGCTGGGCCTCATGCAGCAACACCCCCACCCAGTGTGTGCACTTGTCAGAGAGAGAATGAACATGCACTTCGCCAATGGGGCATGGCCACCTTGCAGTCTTTTTTAAAAAAATTTACTTTATTTTATCTATTCATTCATTTATTTTAATTTGACCAGAGAGTGACATACAGAGAGAGAGAGAGAGAGAGGGAAAGTTGGAAAGCAAGCCACCAGGTCCAGAACTTGAACCATGGCTGGCCACCTGGGAGTGTCCAGTGCCTTAATCACCACGCCACCTGCTGGTCCCCAACCACCTTGTAATCTTTTTTCCTCTATTTCTCCATCTCATCAGGATTTAAGACACACACGTGCATGAGCCCAGCATGTTTTTAAAGCTGCTGGGGTGGGGATCCAAACTGTGTTAGCCACATAGGATCTGGTTCCCACAGCACTTAACCACTGCACCGAGGGGCTGGCCCTCATGCAGCATTTATAGTTAGGAGCAAACAAACCGAAACACAGAACAACAGAGGAAAACACAACCTAATGTGTATCAACAGGAGAAACAAATCACAGCGTATTCACAGGTCAGAAGTCCACGACGCAGATCCCGGGCCTTAGTTACATGCCCACAAGATAAATCACAAAGCCATCAGAGCACCAAAAAGATGAAAAGGATGAAACTCAGAAGGAAATGTATAAATTGGTTCCACCAAAAGCTATTAAATATGTTAGAAGTACCATATATATTATTTAGAAGTACACATATAAAAAGTCCCTAAGGTGAAAAACAGAATTCAAGCGATGATGTTTATCATCTCTGGAGACAGGGCACAGAGGAAAACACGCATTTAAAGTGGGTAGGACCCGTATAACCAGCATCTTTTCTAAACTGTCCCATGAACTAGAGATTTATAAATGGAACATAATCCCATTTAAAGAAACCTAAACTCTTGCATAGCCCTTCTGACACCAGATGGGAGGTTATTCCCACCACAAGCAATTCTCCAGTGCCAGCTAGGTTCCTCTCATTTACTTCATCTGACACTGTCTACCCGGAGTTAGTGTGGTATCTCACTGGTTAAAGTCTCAAACCCACAAACCCACACCCAGTTCAGATTCCAGTCACAAGTCCCAGGTTGTGGCCTGTGCTTCTGATCAACCAACTATACACGAGGGTCCCACAATCCCCTCAAGTTCGATTCATTCTCTGACATGGCTCCCAGAACTCCGCGAAACATTTACTTGCCTTATTGGAAAGGAGATGGATGAACAGTCAGAGAAATAAACATACAGGACAAGGTACAGGGGCAGTCCTGAGCTTCAGGCTCTCTCCAGGCCCTATCCCTCCAGGACCTCCAACTGTTCAGCCACCCAGATGATCAGTGAATCTCTTTCATCTTGTTCTAGAGCTTATTGTATAGAATTTAATCTCCTGTTACAGCCGGCCCCTCTCTTTCCTGATGAGTGGCGGGTGGGGCTGAAAGCTCCAGGGCTCAAATCTTCTCATCACCTGGTCTTTCAGGTGATCAGCCCCATTCTGGCCCCATCCTAAACCACCTAATTAGCATTAAATTCAGGTATGATCCAAGAGGGGCTCACTCTGAATAATACCAGACACCCTTACCACCCAGGGAATTTCAAGTGGCTTAAGAGCCTGCAACAGGAGCCAGGAAAAAACCAAACATGTTTCACGCTATAGCACAAATGCAAAATATCCTCTTGAGAAACTGCATCTCCCAGAGACCTCTGTGAACCTTCCGGAGCTGCAGGTGCAGCCTCCAAGCACCTTCTGACATTGGCACTGTTTGGTCAGAGTCCAAGAAGTTAAACCATCCTTTTTATTATGGATTCAGATTTCAAGCTGGATTAACTGCCAATTCAGGAAGGAAGGAGGGAAGAAAGAATAAATCAGGCAGGGAGTGGAGCTGGCAGCACTTTCCAGCGGATCTATTTATCTATTTTTTTTTCTTCAGAGATTATTTCTTGCATGAGAGAGAGACAGCCAGCCTTCCAGTCAGCCAGGATCACAGGCCCACAGATGAACTCAGTGTGTGAAGATCAACCAGGGATCCGAACCCTCGGCCTTCACATAGCTCCAGGACAGCACAGCAGCACTCCACCACCTGCACCACTGCCTTCAGTGGATCTGATCTGTCCACCTGTTCTTGTTCACGTTCCCTGAACCTGCTATTGGTGTCTAGGTGCCCTGGTGGATGATTCACACTTGGCCGGGTGCACCCAGAGTCCCCTGGCTGCCCTTGAACCTGCAGACTCAGCCTCCACCAACTTGCTTGTCCTGTTCTGGCCTCAGTTTGGCTTTGCAGGCCTTGAAACAGCAATCTGGAAAGGCCGTAGTGGGAGAGCTGGGGTGGCTGCTGTTTTTATTTATTTTTATTTTTATTTTTTTGGAGAGATTTTCACTGTAGGGCGCGTGCGCTCGCCAGACAGACAGAGAGAGACATAGAGACAGAAAGCGAGAAATCACCCCCCAGGGGGGATGGTCACGTCGCAATCCCTTCTTCTCCATTCTCCTCTCGGGATCTTGGGCACGCACGCACACGCGCCTGGCGTGAGTTTTAAGCCACCGGGTCCGGGACGTGAACCACAGTCGACTACGTGGAAGTCCAGCGACATAGCCATTACGCTAACTGCTG